TATGTGTGTGTGTGTGCATGCGTGCTTCTTTGTGTCTGTGCGTGCATTTATATGTGTGTGTGCGTTCGTACGTGCGTGCGTGTTTGTGTGTGTGCGTGTGTGCGTGTGTGTGTGTATGCGCGCGTGCGTGCCTGCCTGCCTGTGTGTGCGTGTGCGTGCGCGCGCATGTGCGTCTGTGTGCGTGTGTGTGTGCGCGCGCGTGTGTGTGTGTGTGTGTGTGTGTGTGTGTGTGTGTGTGTGTGTGTGTGTGTGTGTGTGTGTGTGTGCGCGTGTGCGTCTGTGTGTGCGTAGGAGATTTAGGGCGGAAATATGTGCAGGCCTGTTTCGCAGCGATTGGCGTATTTGTTAGGATTCCTGACTGTGAGCGACGGAGGCAAACGACGAGAATTCTGCACGAGTCTGACAATTTTGTACGGAATCGAACAAAACCTGCGCTCTTTTTCTCATCCGGTAGTTTCGGCAGCGTACTCTGCTGGGACTGGTCGATCTCGAACGATTTTAGCTGCGATAAGAAAGGAAAAAACAGACTATTAGATTTTAAGTTACGCTCAACACTAAGTATATATTATAAACGATAACGACGCCTTCACGAACGAACGAACGATTGCGCGCACGCTTGCTCGCGCACTTCCGCACGCACTTCCGCACGCACGCACGCACACATGCACGCACGCACGCGCGCACGCACGCACGCACGCACACACGCACGCGCGTATACGCGTCATGGACGCAGGCCCGCACACGCAAACATACACGCAAACGCGCGTGCATGCGCGCACGCACTTACGAACCGCATGCACGTCCAGATTTTCGGACACTATCTAAAACGAATGCACGCACGAACATACAGCTCAGCGAATAACAACGGGGGGAAATCTAATGTGTATCCGTTTTTTTTTCACTTCGCGCTGCTCTTGGTCGTCAATGGCGTTCATGCCCGTTCGCTCGCAGAAGCCCCATAAGTAAGACCATAACCGTAAAAAAAACACCTACAGAAATTCCTCTCCCTGCAATGACAGACGCACATGCGGACACGCAAAGAGAAAGACGTGTAGACGAGCACATGGACTGACGCACAAAGGGACGCGAGCGAGACACTGACACCCGAGCAGCGCGAAGTGGAAAAAAAAACGGATACACGGTAGATTTCCCCCCTCCCCGTTGTTATTCGTTGAGCTGTATGTTCGTGCGTGCATTCGTCTTAGATATTGTCCGAAAATCTGGACGTGCATGCGGTTCGTAAGTGCGTGCGCGCATGCACACGCGTTTGCGTGTATGTTTGCGTGTGCATGACAAAAGGACACGTCGGAGTTTGCAACACTACATGCGAATGGTTACAGCGCGCAGCCATTCCAGGAAAACCTTTAGGTATATAGAGTCGATTACATCTCATAATCCCCCCCCCCCTCTACTCAGGCCTGTGAGTACGTACGGGAGGAGCCGCTTCGCCGTAACAAGGCACTCGCTGTTGTCGCGAGCACTATATTGCGCACTTACGTATTTCAGTACTTTTTCCGCCAGTTCGTCTTCTGTCGCGTAAGTGTCCTCGTCGCTGGCGATACCTGTGAACATATCCAACCTGAGCAAGGGAGCGGGGTGCCGAACGTGATGTCAGGACTCAGGAGTGAATAATAGAGTCTCTATCATTCTCTTATAAGTCTCTATACGTCTCTTATATATACACTCTCTTATATATAAGTCTTATATATACTCTCTTATAAGTCTCTATGATTCACTCCTGGTGATGTGTAATGGTACAGGACTCTCAATGTGACCTAGCCGCGGCTGGCGGTCGTCAAGCCAATCCGGCCAAGATAACAACAACTGCCAGCAACTCGCGCCATGAAAAGCCAACAGCTTTGGATACTCTCCACCTTTTGCACGGGTTTTGCTCTAATAAAGATTAAACGTTTATTGGCGAATGAATCGAATCAATCACTTCTTTTAATTATAGAGGAGATATATCTCTATGCTCAAGCCAAAAAATTTCATGAAATTTCCAGCACCTAATTATGTTACCACACAAATTTTGAATTTTTATGTAAAAATGGTATTTTGGTTATTTCTCAACTACCAGAAAGAGTGAAGATACAAAATTTTTGCCACATGTTAAACACAATATGTACTAAAATAGTGCGTTAGGATTTTTCTTTAAGTTTCATATTTACCGAGAAAAATGGAAAAAACTACTTAAAAATCAAGTTGTGTGTTAGAATTGAAAATTTTAGCGAATAAAAAAGCATAACTAATAAAATACGGCACTTAATAACAATCCCTGACGCTCTTTTTTACGGTAATATGTTACCATTAAAACGAGTGTAAAATTAAATTAATCCTAGTTGTAATCACAGAGAAATATCCATTTATACATCGGCTACTATGTCAGAAATCGAAACGGAGAAATCAGCGTTTTTCTATTTTCACAACGATTGACCGCCTGTGTGCAAAATGGGAGAACAGATGTGAAATATCTACTGTTAGTACTTACTGCGACATATCC